CAGATTTTATTGTTCTTAGAATTTTTTAAATTAAACTTTTTACATTTAGATCACTCATAGCAGTGGTAATTTTGGACAAGCATTAGCGTGGGCGGCCAAAATCCACAATATTCCATGTGTAGTTGTGGCACCAAATAATGCACCGATATCAAAACTTAATGCTATGAAAGATTATGGAGCTAATATTGTACTCTGTGAACCAAAAGACAGGCTAGAAATATACTTTCACAAAAAAAATGCTTTTAAATATGCTTTAAAAAAAATTTTGTTTAAATTAACAATATAATGTTTATTTTTATAACCATTAAAATTGCAATAAATGTATTCAGTATTAAAATAAATGGAAATTTTTCTTTTTTTTTTTTTTGGTGACGAATATTGTGAAAATTTAGAAATGCAATGAGAAATATGAAATTTATTATAATTTTTCAAGTTTATTTAAACATCAAACAAAAATTAATGGAAGCGTTTGTATATTGGCATAAAATTTTGCATTTAATGAAACGGAGTATGAAAGAATTCTCTCAGCAAATTTAAATCAACTTTATTGTTTTTTTTATGGGTCAATTTAATTTTTTATTGGATATTTTCGATATTTTTTCTAACCATTCTATATGTATATTTTTTGAAGGAAAATGCTATGCAAAAAACTTTGTGATGGTGGTGAACATATTGAAATGATTGATTCACATGATGATTATAGAGTGATGGCTGGACAGGTTCTCATTTTGTTAAAAAGATTTCATCAATATTTTTAATTTGTAACATTTTTCATTCTTCATTGCTTGATAAAATATTTTCAAAATTTTTTATCAAAAATAATAGATATTAGAAAAAGGTTAGTGCAAAAAACGATATTTTCTGGTCAATTGACCATATATTAGCAATGCTCTATAAAATTTTCTATTTATTATGAGCAGCTCTTTCGATTACTATTATTTAATTATTCGATTCCGGAAGAAGGAAGCAATTTAAGTTTCACATTCTACTGCCCTAATTAGATTAGGTATTACTGCTAATGATAAAAGTTCACATATGGTTTATGCCTAATTTCTTAATTGAAATGGGGTGAGTTTTTCAAAAAATTTATTAACTATTTCAGGATTTCTTATTGTTTTTTTTTTATGGGTCAATTTAATTTTTTATTAGATATTTTCGATATCCTTTTTAACCATTCTATATGTATATTTTTGTATACTTTTGAACCTATTTACATATTAGAAAGGTGATTATTTCAGGGAACAATTGCAATGGAGTTCCTGGAGGAAATTCCTGATTTGGATACGCTCTTAGTAGCGGTTGGTGGTGGTGGTTTATGTTCCGGTATAGTTGTAGCCGCTAAGAAAATTAAGCCGGACATTAAAGGTTCGTTTATTTCATATATAAGTTTACTTCTTCATAACTGATCAAACTTCTCCTACATTTTAAAACGGTTTGCTAATTCCGACTAATATTTCAGTATATTGCGTGGAACCAGAAGGGAAAAATTTTCAGCATTCTTTTGATGCCGGTGAAAGATTATGGGATCAAAATGCAGATCCGGTGAAAACAATAGCCGATGGAATTCGAGTTTTAGCAATCGGTGAAAAATGCTTTCCGCCTATTTGTGAAAAATGTGAAAAGAAAATTCTCACTGTTGTAAGATTTATATTCTTAACGAATTTTACACAAAATAATATCAATACTTATCTAAACTTTATCATCTTTTTATCGGTGATATTTTGAGAGTATATTATGATATTATATTTGTCTAATTTATGATGATACTTTAATGTTATTAGTAAAAAATTGAAAATTTTCATAAATTATTTCCTGTTAAATTTTTTTATAAAATAATGCGGTAATAAATTTATGTAATAAAATTTATGCATAAAAAGAATGAATGCATCAAATAGAGGAATTTTTTTTTCAGAATGATGAAGAAATTACTGAAGCAATGAAATTGGTGTACGGTAGAATGAAGGTAATTTTTACTAAATTACTTTAAAAATTTTTTGTTTACTCTTTAAAATTTAATAAGATATTTGGATAAAATTAAAATATGAGCAAATAAATTTCAGCAAGTAATTGAACCAACAGGAGCAGTTTCATTGGCAGCACTATTGAAATATAAGGATGAATTAGCTGCTCAAAATTTAAAGAAGATAGGCGCCATATTTTGTGGCGGTAATATCGATCTGGAAAAATTGTCATCTTTTTTCTAAAAAAAAAGAAAAAAAATTAAGTTAAATAAAAAAAGACTTTACCTCAAATTAATGAATCATTCACTTCTTTTCATGTATTTTACAACATTTGAAAATAGCATCATTTAAGATATTCTGAATTATTCTTCAATATCAATAATCAATTATTCTTTGAGTATCATTCTTTAAATTTCGAATCTTTTTTTTGCTGCTATTTGAGGACATTTATTATTAGTATTTCATTTTATTAACTAATTATTATTTTATTATGATACGATAGTTATTACGGTTATTTTAACTTTTAATGAAAGAGTATTCGGCAGTTTCAATAGAAAATACTATAAATTTTTATTTGTTCCTTTCTGTTTCCATTATACTATCAAAATATTCAGTATCGATTATTAAATTCTTATGTGTAATAAATAATAAATACTA